TTCTAATCACCAAATCACGAGATATCACTTATTAAAGATTGTCTAAACAATAATTTGATAAAGTGCCTAATTTGACGCAGTTATAACGTTTACAATAAATATCATGTGATGTATCGCAAGAATTTGGTACCATTCAATTCGTCTCGATGAGACAAATTGGATGGTACCAAAATCTTGCGATACATCACATGATATTTATTATCTGCGTCAAATTAGAAGTTATACAGTATCTACCCTTGAACTAGTACCACTCGATTCGTCTCGATGAGACGAATCGAAAGGTACCAAAATCATGCGATTCTAATCGATACTTCTCGAGATACTCTATTTAACCAAAATAGAATCATGTGATTCTGATCAAGTTATCATCGTGCGTCAAATTAGGAACTGCGTCAAATTAGGTATATCTCCCTGATTTCTGAATCAATTTCAGATAAAGTTCTGCATTCTGATTGGTCAATATAGAACTTTAAAATGACTTGGTTTCTGCAGTCTAAATCAGGTAAAATACTCAAATTATACGTAATAAAAAATGTTGGGATGATAATTTTAGTCGTAATTTGTTGTAATTTAAGGTTAGGATCAAACAAATATATAATCACATCGGGTTTTAGCGTTAGCCGTCTCAATTTAGAGCTTTAAAAATCACATGACTGTTTTTTGTGCGTACAATTTGTACTACGATAGAAAATTTCAACTAGCAGTTTAAGAAAATTGAGCAAATCAAAATTCATCTTGACAAAGTAACACTTGAAGTGTTTGTTCTTTTGACTGCAAAGGCAGCAAAGTTTGGTCACTAAAATATTTAACTATTGCATCAGCTCAAGAAAGTCCATAATCGTCCTTTAGCACCAAACTGATTCACGTTATAAAAATAATCATTTCTAATGGCAACCACAGCCGATTTCGCAGACGTTGATGGCTGGATTCAACATCTCATGCAATGTAAGCAGCTGCCAGAAGCTGATGTAAAGAGATTGTGCGACAAGGTAACTGGATGGGAAAGCAAAGAATAATTTTAAAGCTTTCTTGTTGAATCATCTATTCAACTCTAAGCTTTTCACTTTTTTATAACATTTGAAAGCTATACTGGCTTTGATAAATTCGCATTGTTTTCGAATAAATTTTTTTTTTTTCGAGTAAAGAAGTGTGCTGTACTTCATCTTGTTTTGGACGTGTTTAAAAACAGTCAATACGCAGTGGGATACATTTATGCTATTTAATTTTAGCTTTACGTCGGGGTGCTAATTTTTCATTCCTAAGGAGGTTAGGACTTTACTAAAAGTAATTTCATAATTTTTCATTGAAATTGCCAAATAATTTGTATAGGCTCGTGAAATTCTTACAGAAGAATCCAATGTGCAACCCGTTAGATGTCCTGTGACAGTTTGTGGGGATATTCACGGTCAATTTCATGATCTGATGGAGCTTTTCCGTATCGGCGGGAATTCGCCTGACACGAATTATCTATTTATGGGAGATTACGTTGACCGTGGATATTACTCCGTTGAAACAGTTACTCTTCTTGTCGCCCTTAAAGTCAGATATAGAGATCGAGTTACAATTCTTCGTGGCAACCATGAATCTAGACAAATCACTCAAGTATACGGGTTTTATGATGAATGCCTAAGAAAATACGGCAATGCGAATGTCTGGAAGTTTTTCACCGATCTGTTCGATTATTTACCTTTGACAGCATTAATTGACGATCAGGTTAGTAATCAGTAATGTATGTGTGTACGTATCTTAAACCAATAATTATCTCTCATTGCGATTTATATTAATCATTTTAACAGATCTTTTGTCTCCACGGCGGTCTATCTCCATCCATTGATACGTTAGACCACATTCGTTCTTTGGATAGGATTCAAGAAGTTCCCCATGAGGGTCCTATGTGCGATTTGTTATGGTCTGATCCAGATGATAGATGCGGATGGGGAATTTCACCTAGAGGTGCTGGATATACCTTTGGACAAGATATATCGGAGGCATTCAATCATAACAATGGACTAACGTTGATTGCTAGAGCTCATCAGTTGGTTATGGAGGTATATATTTGCTATCATATATTCTTATGGTATTTTATTGTTAACGCATTTGCATTTGCTATACAGGGATATAATTGGTCGCAAGATAGAAATGTTGTCACAATCTTCAGTGCTCCTAATTACTGTTATCGTTGTGGTAATCAAGCCGCAATTATGGAAATTGATGAGCACTTAAAATATACATTGTAAGTGAATCATGTTTTAAAGAACTTTTTGAAAATTTTAAATATAACTAACAAAAAAAAAAAAATAGTTTGCAATTTGATCCTGCCCCGAGAAGAGGGGAGCCTCACGTAACTCGTAGAACGCCAGATTATTTCTTGTAAACTTTTGATTTGCGTAATTCATATAAAATTATATAATATCGTTGATCGATTTGTTTAACTCTTTGCACGATTGTTGTATTGCATGTAAAGTGAAAACATTGAGGATGATGGTTCGTTGAGCACGCATCGTAGAGGCCTAGTATCGCGTCAAATTATATATATGCTAGGCTTATTGTGAATTTTTTTTTAATGGTTGTATGAATTTACTTTTTATTGAACAATATCACAAAATTTACTTTCCGTTTATGTAATTTTGTAAATTTGACATCGAATCATTTGATCTTACTGACCAATATCGACGTCGGAGAGTCTTGACGCGGTAAACAATGGTCATTAATATAAATAGCATATAGAATTATTTTATGTTAATCAAAAAGACAAATGAAAGTTCATGGGTGGTACAATTTTGTGTAGTGGTAAAAAGTGAATTATTAAAAAAAACGTTTAAGCCACACTGATTTAGCCAATCATAACCCTAGAATTCTTGATATATATAATCGTTGTGACACTTAGATATATGCTCAGTATCTACGTAAGAGTCAAACATTAATTGAAAATACAAAAATAGGTCAAGCTTATGCCGTTAGTCTACCTATAAAGTCTCGTAGCCATACTCACTCTTTTCAGCACAAAACTGTAACATGGACGGCGATTACCAGGAAATGGCTTACCCTATGGGAGATCAGCTTGATTACTCTTCAAATGTACTACAGGAGATGCCGACGCAAGCTGTCGAGGAAGATTTAGAAGGCGATCCCACACAATATCAAGAAAACTACGCTCAAGGTATTTTATTTAGTCAATTATTATTAGCTTTAGAAGGTTTTAGAATAATTTATGCTAAAATAATTTTAGTGATCTACGAGGATTGGCTTCTTACTATGAAATATAAAGTAAAATAAATATTTTATGTTAATGTATATATAAAACCTATTTGTTCCTATTTTTTTTTTATGGATATTTATTATAAATTAATACGGTTGACTCTAGATATAACGAACCTTTTATAATGAACTACTCTATAATGAACTTTTTAACAAAATTTATTATAGAGTTCGATATAAAAACATAGTAAATTATAAGGAGCTTTTGAAAAATAAGAACCGTCAGTTCGTTATAAAGAGAGTTGACTGTACAATGGATCAAAGTTTATGATAACGAATGTACTCATGAATCTTAATATTAGACGATCTACAAGATTCCGAAATACAACCCGATATTACACAAGAAGATTGTTGGACAGTTATATCATCGTTTTTTCATGATAAAGGACTTGTTCGCCAACAACTCGATTCGTTTGACGAATTTGTACAAAACACCATGCAAGAAATTGTTGATGAAAATAAAAATTTAGTACTACAAACTTTTTCAGGAAGCCAAACGGGAGATGGTGATAAAGCAGTATGTTCAGATATAATCCTTTCACAAAGAGAAAATCAAGATCTGGTGCAAATTTTCTTAGAAATTTATTTCTTTATAATTGTTCATTTAGAAAAGATTTTATATTCGATTCGGTCAAGTTTATCTTTCGAAACCTACAATGACCGAAGCAGATGGTAGTGTCCAAGCGATGTTTCCACAAGAAGCACGCCTGCGAAATCTGACGTACGCATTATTATTATAATTATTATAATTATTATTATAACCAGTGTTTAAAGTTCGATGTTCTCGACTTTCTTTGAGAACACTACACAATTTCAAGAGCATAAATTATTAAAATATATTCTCTATTTGAGAACATTGGATAAATTCTTTCGACTTAATTTTTATATAAAGGGCAACACCTTTTTTGAAATCATTAAAATTTAAAAATCAAATTTGAAATTTAAACGCTGATTATATCTATTATTACTCTATTGTACGTGTGTGAAAGTACATTAAACATTTTATTTATCAATTTAACGCATTTTTTTCGTCAGTTATGCGGCACCGCTTTATGTCAACATGAAAGAAGAAGCATTATACGCCGATCCCAGAGCTCCAGAGAATAGGGGAAAGCCAACATTGGCCGAAATGTTTGATGAAAATAAGTTAAAAGATGATCCAAAAGAAGAAACTTACGACAAAGTTTTTGTTGGAAAGGTATAGATCTTAAATATCTTGATATATTGAAATTTCAATGGCTATCTCATTATGATTATATATTTAACAGATTCCAGTCATGTTGAAATCGACATATTGTGTGCTTCATGGCTTAGACGATGAAAGCCTTTATGCACTGAACGAATGTCCGTATGATCAGGTTTTTTTCATTTTCATGACTCGTCACAAAGCAAATAAATAAATAATGTGATCATTTTAAATAATTTATTATGTAATATTGCATACTATATGTCAGGGTGGTTATTTCATCATCAATGGATCCGAAAAAGTATTGATCGCTCAAGAAAGAATGGCAACAAATACTGTATATGTATTTGCAAAATCCCCTCCCTCACCTTATTCGTACACTGCCGAGATAAGAAGTGCTATGGAAAAAGGATCAAAATTGGCTAGTTCATTGGTTGTCAAAATGCTAGCAAAGACAGCCGAGAAAGGAGTAGGCTTCGTCTTTTTTTGTTAATTTCGTAACTCAACAGTAATGACAGGCATTTAATTCAACTGTCTTTTTAAGTCGACCGGACAATTCATCCAAGCAACTATGCCTTACATTAAGAAAGATGTACCAGTGGTAATCGCTTTCCGGGCCCTTGGCGCCGTTTCTGATCAAGATTTTCTTCAATATGTTTGCTATGATCCTAACGATAATCAAATGATGGAAGCATTAAAACCGTGTATTGAGGAAGCGTTTGCAGTTCAAAGTACTGAAGTAAGCTAAGCGTCTTATTGGTATCTTTCTGTACCTTTTTTGAAAACATGACCTTCTATCTAAGATGGAAATTTTAGGTTGCTGCCGATTGGATTGGACGTAGAGGGACAACCACCGGCGCTACTAGAGATAAGCGTATCAAGTATATATTTATTGACATTTATTGGCATAATTTTATCAACGGTAGTTTGATTAACACGAGATACTTGTTATTTTAGATATGCTAAAGAAATTCTACAGAAAGAATTATTGCCTCATGTCTCAACTGAATATGGATGCGAAAAACGAAAAGCATTCTTTCTAGGATATATGGTGCACCGACTTTTACTGGCTGCTCTCGGGCGTCGAGAGTTGGATGACCGTGATCACTACGGGAAGAAAAGAATGGATCTTGCAGGTCCTTTATTGGCATCATTGTTTCGTATGTTATTCAAAAAGCTTACAAAAGATATCTCGATATATTTAAGAAAGGTTTGTATAGGCATATATTATTATTAGTCCAATTTTTTTTTATAATATGACTATAATTTAATTCAATGTTTCAATACAGTGCATCGATACAAGTAGAGAATTTAATCTTCATTTGGCAATTAAGGCACAAACGATTACTAATGGCCTTAAATATTCTCTTGCAACTGGTAATTGGGGTGATCAAAAAAAGGCTATGCAGGTAAATATTCTAGATTTTGATATATTTTGTCTGGTAAAACATCATTCACCTGTTAAAATTTTGTCCGGAATTTAGTCACGAGCGGGTGTTTCTCAAGTGCTAAATCGATATACTTTCGCATCAACTCTATCCCATTTGAGAAGATGTAATACTCCAATGGGAAGAGATGGAAAGATTGCCAAACCACGCCAGTTGCACAATACCCATTGGGGTATGGTGTGTCCTGCCGAAACTCCAGAAGGACAGGCTTGCGGTTTAGTTAAGAACCTTTCCTTAATGTCATATATCTCAGTTGGAAGTTCTTCAAAGCCAATAATAGACTTCTTGGAAGAATATGGCATGATAAATTTGAATCAACAATTTGATCCTGCAAATATTAGAGACAATACAAAAGTTTTTGTAAATGGTAAATGGGCAGGTATTTCCGCTGCGCCTGAACAATTAGCTAATACGCTTAGGGGCTTGAGACGAAGTGTTGATGTGAGCCCCGAAGTTAGTGTTGTTAGGGACATTCGTGAAAAAGAACTAAGAATTTATACTGATGCTGGAAGAGTATGTAGACCTTTATTCATTGTAGAAGAACAATGTTTAAAAATAAGTAAAGAACTTATACATAACCTGGACGTTAATAAGCTTGTAAGTGACATTTTTATTTATTTCTATCCAGAGTTGATAGAAATGGCGTGATTTAGTTAGTCAAGATACCATTAAATCCATCATGTATATAAGCTATGTTATTTTATTTTTTTGTCAAACAGAAAGGTCGAACAAGTGGACAAGCGGATGATGATGATCTAGATGATAAAAATATAGATGGTATTGATGATGAAATACAGGATGAAGATGCTGAGGAACAAGGCACAAGAAGGCGACGAAATAGACAAGTTTATGCATGGCATGATTTAATTTCCAATGGCGCAATTGAGTACATAGATGCGGAAGAAGAAGAAACAGTTATGATCTGTATGACTCCTGAAGATTTAGCAGCGTCAAGGTATTATTATCAAACTGGTGTTACACCAGCGTCAAAAGCACATGAAAAAGACGTGGCAGCTCGTGTTAAAAGTGAAACAAATTTATACATACATACTTGGACACACTGCGAAATTCATCCTAGTATGATACTAGGAATTTGTGCTAGTATTATTCCTTTCCCTGATCATAATCAGGTAGGTGGAATAAATGTCCAATCAATTATAACAGTTATTTGTAGTATTTAACTCACCGATCTCATTTTCTTATTTAAAGTCACCGCGTAATACTTATCAATCCGCTATGGGTAAACAAGCAATGGGCATTTACGTAACAAATTATCAGTTACGAATGGACACTTTGGCAAATATTTTGTATTATCCGCAAAAACCTTTAGTTACAACGCGAGCTATGGAATTTTTAAGATTCCGTGAATTGCCAGCAGGTCAAAATGCTATTGTAGCAATTCTTTGTTATAGTGGTTATAATCAAGAAGACTCAGTAATTATGAATCAAAGTAGTATAGATAGAGGATTATTTAGAAGTATTTTTTATAGAAGTTATATGGATCAAGAAAAAAAAGTGGTATGTATAGGTTTTAATTAAATTAAATGATATTTGACAATTTATAATCAATTATATCATGAATTTTACACAGGGCATATTATCTATTGAAGAATTCGATAAACCGACAAGAGAAACTACCTTACGTCTCAAACATGGCACATATGAAAAATTAGAGGAGGATGGTTTAATTGCACCTGGTACAAGAGTATCCGGTGATGATATAATTATTGGGAAGGTTACACCTATTCCAGAGCACACTATTGAACTTGGTCAACGAAAAGATTCCCATACACATAGAGATGCTTCCACACCAATGCGAAGCACAGAAAATGGTATCGTAGATCAAGTGATGGTAACAACAAATGCCGAAGGAATGAAATTCGTTAAAGTAAGAGTTCGGAGCACAAGAATTCCACAGATGGGTGGTGAGTTTCGTACATGATTCGTTAGGTTTATTCTTCATTTGATATTACTGGTATTCATTCACAAATCTACAATAGATAAATTCGCTAGTCGACATGGTCAGAAAGGTACTATTGGAATTACATATCGACAGGAAGATATGCCATTTACTTCTGAAGGAATTACACCAGATCTTATTATAAATCCTCATGCCATCCCAAGTCGTATGACAATCGGTCATTTAGTCGAATGCTTATTAGGAAAGGTAAAATTTCTTCAATAATCATATTTAGCTCATATGTTTGCATTGAGTTATGCACAAAGTCATGCTTGAATAAATTGAATGGTATCCAGGTTTCAACACTCACTGGCCAAGAAGGTGATGCTACGCCGTTCACTGATGTGACGGTTGAAGCTATTTCACACAGTTTGCGACAAAATGGTTACCATTCTCGAGGGTTTGAAGTAATGTATAATGGCCATACAGGACGCAAGTTAGCTGCACAAGTGTTCTTAGGACCGACATATTATCAACGATTGAAGCATATGGTGGATGATAAAATTCAGTAAATATGCTTGTTCTATAATTGAGCCATCCTTCTTGGGAAGACCCTATTACTTACTATTTGTTGCTTCATTAGTTCTCGTGCTAGAGGCCCTGTGCAAATACTTACGCGCCAGCCGGTTGAGGGTCGTAGTCGTGATGGTGGATTGCGTTTCGGTGAGATGGAACGCGATTGTATGATTTCTCATGGTGTAGCCATGTTTTTGAAGGTATCAATACGTTTATATTCTATCAAAGCTTATTTTAAATAAAAGATTACTTATAACTCTGGTCAAATTTGCAGTCATTCGGCCAGATTCGGAATAGAAAAACTCCGAGTTTGGCCAAATGACCTACAAATTTTAGCCAGTGTAATCAGTTTTACTATTTAGATTACATTCAAAATCTGCTGTAATGTTATTCTTTTTTGTTATTAAGTTACCAATAACTATTTTTATACACAACTATAGGAACGATTATTCGACGCGTCAGATGCGTATCGAATTCATGTTTGTGATATATGTGGACTAATGGCCATAGCAAACCTTAAGAAGAATACTTTTGAGTGTAAAGCTTGTAAAAATACTACACAGGTCTGTTTATTTTGTTTATCTATATTTATTCATAATAGTGCTAATTAATAACTCGTTGATTTCTTGTGCTTTAGATATCACAAATACATATTCCATACGCTTGTAAATTACTATTTCAAGAGCTAATGGCTATGAATATTTCGCCTCGGTTGTTTACTTAATTATCCGTGATTTTTACAATGTCTTTTTTTTTTTTTATCTAAGATTGTTTTTTTTTTGTAAAGTCATCAATGTCTTTAATTTCGTAGCATGATATATTTTAGGAGGTATTAAGTACAATAATTAAATAAAGACAGTAGTTTATAGAACAAAAAAAATGATTTTTACTTTGAACAAAGATTTCAAAATAAACTCTTTTTTAAATCCATTATACATTATATTAATGATTGACAAGTGATCATTATAATTTAGTGTTTAAAATGAAAGTGTTGTCTGGCAAAGAATTTAAGAGCATATATATTAAAATCACAAAAGTCAGCATATATTAAAATTACACAAAGAATTTTTTGTTTAGACACGAAGACGATTTGATTTTTTTTGAAATTTTGATTGCAATCTGATTGACCTGGAACTGTAATCGCCGAAGACAAATAGATTTTCCCATTATTTTATTTTAAGACGGTCTTGTTAATAGAATTTTATTTTATTTTATTTTATTTTTTTTTGAGTTCAGACATGCTTGAATATCTGACATCAAGAATTAAAACATTCTCACGACTGACTGTGATGGACCAATCCAAAAAGTTAATGCTTCGTCAAACTGCGTTGAAGTTACCCTTTAAAATAATAAGAATACATACTTAAAAAGTCAAGAAGTCCTCAAGGAGTCCTCAATCGTTATTCAAAAATAATAAATTTTGAGACATTACTACAAATCTGAGTTTGTTTTAATTTATGGAACCTGGCCAACAAATATCATTAGAAAAAACGTCTAAAAAAAATGGTTATTACATGTAATTAAAGGTTCATTCGATTTTAAATAATGAACAATAATTTGATCGCTTTTATGACCCATTATACATATTCTCCTGGGTTTTAACCACGTAATTCTGGTAAAGAATATCCATAAATGAAGTATCAGACTAGTATTTTTCATTTGAAAGTAATAAATAAGCATTTCGGTTCAAAACAATGCTAATATTGAAAGAAATAATTAAGAAAGAACTATAGTGTCTTCACACCTGAATTAAATATAAATATCTTTGAGTAAATTCAGGCTTGCTCATTATCTTTTGCATACGATTTCCACGTTGATCATTTCTATCCAGAAATCCAGAAAGAGAAGCAATGGAAGCATCGAGAACCTGTGATCGTTGTAAACCTTGATTGTTTTCTCCAAACAGAGTCGTCGATGTAGTAGGCACATGATTTGATGTATTTGTTAGCAACGTAGGCATCGATGTCTTGACAAATGACGGACCTGTGTTCTTCATGTAATGATCATGAGAAGTAGCATCCCCTGTTAATGATATTGGCTGTGGTAAAGGTGTTGATGAGATATAAGGATTTGAGGCTATTCCTGTTGATGAATTATTTGCTGGCTGACGAAGTAAATCCAAAAGTAATTTTCCATCAAGGGATTGATTTGGTGGTACAGGCGTAACCTATATAGACCCAAATAATTTAGTTATTAAAATAGATAAGAGCTTTAAATTAATATAATAACCATTCCCGTTTTTACTGACAGAGGGTATTGATGTATGTATTGAAGATTCAGTGCGATTGGTATTCTGAAACAACTCGCCAATTACATTTTTATGAGAATGATCATCTGATTGTACATTACGTTTGGATGACGTTATTCCATTGATTTGTTTTATTTCAGCCCGTTTTAGAAGATCCACAATATCAATTGGTTTTCCATAAGAGTTTGAATTCGTTGTTTGGGTGAATGATATTTTTGAAGATTGTTCTAGCTGCAGTGACATACTGGCAGTCTTTGATAATTCACGACATCTAAAAGCAAATGCGAAAAAATTTAGAAGTTAAGGCAAGATCATTAATAAACCTTTCTTTTAATAAAAATCAACTTACTCCCACAATTGCTTTCTTATTCGCTCCCTATCTTTTGCTTCATATACCCAAATACCATGAATATTATCTGTCATGTGAAACAATGATGAAGCAACATAATCCAATGATATATCTTACAATAAATTTAAAAAAAAGCATTGAATGATACCATCGTCTGTACGATATATAATATATTCGTCTTTAAATTCAAGTTCCATACTATCTTTTAAAGGAGCCATAAAATTATCGATGCCTAACCGATTCATAACAATAAAACCATATGCAGGCTGTACGCATCTAGATATGAATTAAAACTATTGTAATTTTGGAAATCGTCGAAATTGAAGCACACGTGTTAAAATCTGGATACAAACCTTCTAAAAACAAACATTGTGCCTTCAACACCCTTCTTTGTCTGCCAATTTTGTTGTTGTTTTTTTGAATATTCGGAACCCGTCAATTATGTTTAGAAGCCGTGATTTTCGGGCCATAAACCTTTTTTTTTTGGTTGACAAACGTTCAACATACCCATGCAGATTGCTCATGATCAAACTTATATACAACGACATAACTTGAGCTATCAATAATCTCGACAATGTTCTCGTCGTGTCGGCGCAAAACATTCAAGTTAACGGCTTTTCTCGCGAGAGGATCCATGTTAAGTTTAACAAATTAAGTTCTAGCCATTACAAATAAACTTGATGTCACGTGCAGACTCCACGCCAAAAATGGGGGATGGCTAAAGCCAGGTACGATATTACCCGATTTTTCCGATTTTTTAATTAAAGTCGATTAATATTAGGGTTGGGATTAGATTAAGTAGTTTCTATAGTAAAATCGCATTTCCGACACTTTTACTTAGTGAACCAAGACCGGTTTAGATAGCCAATTTTTGTATTTTTTGTGTTTTAGTCTTTGGCGTCTCGCTTTGTTTTGTTCGGGCTGATCCGGGTTATATATCGGGTGATCTCGTGATGTACCTGGCTTTAGCCAACCCCCAAAAATGGGGTACAAACTTCCAAACTTGAAATTTATGACTCAGGACCGATCTGCCCAATAAAAGTATGAGGTTGATCGATCACATGAAATTAGACGATTGGTCATGTTAGTACACGTGATAATTAACCAATCAATTTTTATAATATTGCAATAATGTCCGAAAAATCTTTATTTACTAAATCAAAGATATCTCACGATCCAGTAGACAGAATTTGATGAATCTTATGCCATTCGATTCGTCTCAATGAGACAAATCGAATGGTATAAGTTCTAACAAATCCTACCCACTGGAACGTGAGATATTAACGATATTATAATCTCTTATTTGCTTATATATTTTTTAATAAAATTTTGTTTAAATGCGTGTATATTGTTTCTACTTAATCTATTCAATAAATATACTCGCTAGATCGTTCTAAATCGTTCCTATTTGTATTTTAAATTGTAGTAGTTAAAATATTTAAAATTTAATTTACAAAATAATAACACGTTTATTTGTAATATACTTTTGAATTTAAGCTATATAAAACGAGTTAACTTATCTTTTTATTCAGTTTTTTGTATAAGAACTACTTTGGGTTCATTATTGCTTTTTCTAAAAAATATTAAAATTTAGTTTTACACTGCTTACTTTTAGTTTTAATACCAAAAAACCTTTTTTTGTTTGAATTTGAATTCAACTACCTTTGATTTTTTATAAAATTTGCCTTTAATAAAACTTTTTGAATATTGTGATTATTTTTGATTAATTTTAATACAAGGTGGGTTACATAGAGGCCTTTTGCTAGCTTTCTTTTTAGAACAGATTTAATTAATAGGTTTTGAAAAATCATGAGAAAATGAAGTACTTTAAACTGTATAAAAAATCAAAAAAAAATTTTTATTAAATTAACTAAACCATAATGACAATTATCCAAATTTGGGTTTGTTTACCATGCTGCTAAAGCCAGATACATCACAATTAGTAATTTGACTGAGAAAACTTTCTTTAATCGGGTAACTGAACTGAATTATTTCATTCAACTGATTGCCAATCAGTTAAATTAACAATCTACTATCATCAGAAATTCTTAGAGCTTTACTTCGTCTTTTATATTTATTTATTTCTTTCGGAACTTTTCAGACCCTTTACTCATTTTTATATTATATCGATTTCGAATTACCCAATTCTCAATTGGTTGTATTGGGTTAACCGATTAAGAATTTTTTCAACTAGTTAACTGAAAATTATTTAGTTTGGGTCGATTAACTGATTATAGTTTAACTGATTCAAATCACTAATCATGATACTATATGATATTTCCAATTTTTTAATTAAAATTGATTAATATTAGGGTTGTAATTAAATTAAATAGTTTTTATAGTAAAATTGCATTTTTGATACTTAGTAAACCAAGACAGGTTTAGATAATCAATTTTTGTTTTTTTCGTGTTTAGTTTTTGGCATAAGGTTAGAAGCATGAAAAAATTTTCAGACATACCTTATGATATATTTTTGATTTTTTGATTTAGAAGTATGTTCTATAGGCATATTCTTAAAATTTTTTATATACCAATTAGAATGTATAGCACAAAAAAAAATTTGGCATGCTATATAGTATACTATTAGCTAAAATTTATATTATACTATACTATAAGCATATTATAATATAATTGAAATATTTCAAATTTTTGTTTTAATTTTCTCTTATAATTTTTATATTATCTAATTTTCTATTCAAAATATTTTAGAATATCCAAATATTAGTTTAGCTAGAACGAGATGTATCATATAAATAATATACCTATAGACTATTTTGTTTTAGATATGTCTTATAGCATGCCTATAACTACTATACTATACACACTAGTAATAACTTTTTAAATATAAAATTTTTTGAAAGGGATATATTTAAAGATATGCCCAAAAGATATGCCTGAAAGGCATGCTTTGTGCTTTGTATCTCTAACCTTACTTTGGCATCTTGCTTGGACTAATCCAGATTATATTTCAGGTGGTTCTACTACAAAATCCTGATATCCAAAATTTCAAAAACCATAATTCTGATATGATAATTAGTATTTAATAATTAATAATTACATTAACAATTATTGTTAGACTTTAAATTTTAAATTGGCATATTAGGTGTTGTTAGTATTATTGCTTGTTAAAATTTTGGATGTTAGAATTTTGTAGTAAAACCATATCAGATAATCTTATAATATACCTGGTTTTAGTTAACCCTCAAAAATAAAAATAATTATTGTTGCTTATACAATTTCAAATTAGTATTAGAATTAGTATTAGAGTAAGAATAGAGTTTTAAAAAAGAAACTATATTAAAATTTCACAAAGAATTTTTTTGCTAGAATGCAGAAGTTAGTTTTATAAGTGAAATTTCTTTAACATAGTATTATATACTAATTATTTATATAAATTCAATATAATAGATGCTGATTAAATAAAAAGTATAATTTTTAAATTGAGTAAGGAGTATCTTGCAAAATCTTAGATAATTTTTTTTTTGGTGTTAAAGTCATATAGGAGTGAGTCAGTAAAAAAAGAACAAATCATTTTTAGTAAAATTTTTTAATTTTTAAATTAAAATATCTTAATAATTATTTAATCAAATTTGTTAAAAATTTTTTTAGTTTAATTTTGAAATTATATGTAATTAAAATCAAAAAAAATTCATTAAATTTAATAAGATAGTTGTTAAAATATTTTATCTTAAAGTTAAGAAAACTTTTACTTAGAAAAATTTTGTCCCTTTTCTACTAACTCATCTCATATATGCTTTATTACTTTCAAAAGTCATTATATATATTTTAAGAATATATTTTAGCTATGAGTTTTTGATCAAAAATATCTAGTAGAAATTGAGAAACTGGACTATATAACTATAAAACTTACAAGAAAAACCTCATATATTCTTATTGGCCCATCACTTTTTTCAAGAAAATTTTTATAAAAAGTAGGCAATTTAGTTTACTTTCTTTAAAAAATTAATATCATATGCATCAAAATAGTTAGTATTGATTATCTTCTAATGATTACTGGCTA